TATATATATAATGACTATTTGATTAAAACTGAGCAAGTAGTAAAAGCTGAGTAGTAAACCAACAACAAAACAGCTTCCAACTATGTGTATAAGAATATAGAGCTTGCCCATCTTACATGCGGATGACGGCGACATTTTCAGTTCCACCATAAACGAAACTCCAAAAGAAGATGAACAACCCCCCAAGCATGCTATTGATGAAGGCGAAGATGATAAAGTTGACAATCGAAGACTACACAGTGAAGTCCTGCAGTCGAATAAAACAGATACACCATCATCAGAAAAGGGACAAAAGCAATTAAAGGAAACAAAAGTTAACGATAAATATTTTCAAGGTGCAGAACGCGTTGCAAACGAGCCTGCAAACCCCCATTCCACACCCAACTCTGTTACCGGTGCCGAAGATACTTGGCCGAGGAAACAGCGAAGAACATGGAATTTAAATACGACAGCAGAGTTCAATTTTGCGTATGATGAGCAGCCTTCCCCCGTGTCCTCACGAAGGGGTTCGTTAAGTGATGAGCAGGCCACGATTACTGCCTTAAATCAACAACCTACCCCGTAGGTTTTTTGTGGTACATGTTTGTGTGATGGCAGTCACTTCCTTCTAGTGGTAGTTTGTCGGTTTACAACAGTCTGTCGGGAATGTTCATCTTGTTACGCGATCTTTGGTATGCGCGCCTCATGCATTTGTAAATGTGTAGTCTATGTGGAAAAAATTTAGTGTACTTTCCGCGCTAAATATAGCGTCGAGGTGCTCGATGTGTTTGTTTGAAAAAGCTAAAAACTAGATTCTCTATCCTTCTACTTCCTTCGATGATTTTTTATTGTGAACGAGAGAGAAGTCCGTTTCATAACATGATAAGAAGTCTAAGAGAAGGATAAAAAAGGGAATGTAATACAATTAGGACTCGTTCAAACCACAAGTGCCTTATAAAACGGTAAACTATATTTATAAAATGTGTATTTCTAATAAGAAAAGGACAAGTTTCAAATTGAAGATTCACGTATGTTCGAATGACAGAAGTTTATGCTTGTAATTCCAGTTGTGAAGATATGAAATGTTGCTATTTATTTTTTCTATTTTTGCTATACATTGTTTTAGCTCTTTGCTTCTTATAAAGCTTGGCGACGTTTTTGTTTTCTGGAAAAGTAGGTGTACGCGTCTGTTTAGTAGAATTATAGCCCGAAGACTTAAGTTGCCCTTTTCATTTGCTTTATTTATGCGCGTAAACAGGCTCATCATTCGCGAAAACACATTCATCGTAGGAGCCCCGTCACAGATTAAGAACTCTAAGGAAAGCAAAAACTCGTCGCCAACTTATTTCAAAGCATCGAAAACCCCGAACTTTAAAAAGCTGCACGAGCGAGAGCAGGCTCGTATGGAAAGCATCGTAGATCATGCGAGCCGAAAACGTGAAAGGTACTTACATCAATCGTGCTCCATATAAGTGGTTGTACTTTAATCGGGTAACACGGATTCCGTCTCATGTTGATATTTGAAATATTACCGCCGTCTGCGTAGTGTTAAAAACCTTAACCAAATCCACCGAAGTGCATTAAAGGAATGCTCTTATCTACTTATTTTGAAACTATATGTTGCCCTGTTTACTTCATTTTTTCGCTCGTTCATAACAAACGTTGTAGCGTTATAAACTAAAAAACAATAGTGCGCGAACTTCCGCTTTAAGCATTCCAAAAGCTTGCAGTGCTCTAGATTTTTCGAGTCTCTCTAATATAACGATATTTAATTTCTACTACGATAGAATGCGGCAGCTATTGCAAACCACGCGCGAGATCCGTGACCGCGGCGGTACATCTCGACGAGAATCCAAGACACCATTGAAGACTCCCCTGAAAACCTTATTGAAAACACCGGTAACTGATATCAAAAGACAGTACATGACCCCATCATCATCCGCCAAGAAGATTCTTAGTGACAAAGTACGTTCGAATCGCCGTTTCGAGCTACTGATGAAGGCTCGTGGAATCAACATCGAAGAGGATGCTAACAGTGATGAGGAACAGAAGTAGATAGGCAGTGGCGATGCCGGTTTCTTGGCTGCATCACTTTGAGTTCAGGTTTTCAAGAATGTCTTCAGAAAAGCGCAAAGAATACGTACTCCTGAACACAGCAGACGTAATGATTTTGTTAGCATATAGCATAATTTTACTTATTTAATTGAGCATTCTTATGTAGCTAACCGTTTATTCATGCATGTTTAATTTAGCACTTTGCTTAGGAGTTGTTACGCCTCTAAAAGGAAACATAACCAGTAGTAAGTCGAAAAGGTCAATGCGGATCTGTGTAGGAAAGCTGTGTGTTCATTCAGAAATTTGTGAAATGCCATATCTTGTTTTAGACATAAGGTAGAAGTCAGCGGCTTCTTATAACGTGTGTCCACAAACTGCGGCTTTGTGTGTCTTTGTAATAAGGAGAGTCAAAGAGGTTAAGGAGCATACGTTACCGATTAGAAAACGGTGTAGTATGCTACAGTTCGCCGAAAAAGTTTAGCCAAAGCCGTGTGGGATTTTAAAGGTAAAACAATATAAAAAAGGAATGAATATGATTCGAATAAGAGTTCCAAAATGAAAAAACGGTAGATTGGTGCTTACCTCCAATAATAAAACCCATATGGCAGTGTATAACTTGTATAGAATTTGTATATAAAGCGAAAGAGTTTTTGAGCCGCCTAGAGTCCTCATTAAGACATGCTGCTCCAATCATAGAAAATAGCATACCACAAGATACAGTAGGTGTCATCTAATGGCAATTTCGTAGCTTCTTTTTATTATGTGGTCAAATATTTATCAACTAACATATCTGCTCAACAAATGTGGTAAGTCCAATGTCAAAACTGTATTAAATCTATAGTGGATGCTGGACTGTACGAACCCGGGATGTATTTTAAGTGTACTCAAAAAATCACCGACGTGCGTGACAAACTAACCGAGTATTTGCGTAGCATATTCTTTCATTCTTAGTCTTGCAAAAACAATGACGTTGGAGGGAAAGTAGTTTTCGAAGTTTTTATACTAACGTTAATTCTTCTCCAAAATAATTCGATAATAAGATACATCTACTGGCCTAACACAGATTCATCGGAAGTTCTCTATGCCTACATTCAATAGCCTTTCGCATGACATAAGTTTTCATTCATATATTTTTCTGTCTTTGGCATTTTCTCTATCGTTCTTTTCTTCCCTGTGTTGTTGCCTATTAAACGGAAGGTAAAACATCTGAAGATTGAATTTAAACACAAATCATTAAAGCGTTGTCGTTAAGGACGCGGACATCAGCTGATTTTTGATCTTCAAAGGAAAACGTAATGAGCTTGTAAGCTTAGGTTGACGCGGCCGTGGTCCATCGTATTCGGTATTTAAGCGAGATTATTATAATAGCTACAAAAAAATAAGCTTCGAGAACATAGTGACCAATTTTGTCACAAGTATGTACTCACCGAGCACAGTGTCACATTCTTACACACAAAAAAAGAAGACGACAAATATCTTGGAAATACGCCTTATGTACAACATTTACTTATTATTTAAGGTATTTACAATTGGTACATTTCGATGTATTTATTCTATTGTTGTATCGTTCCAAATCTGCGTTCGCCTTATTCCTAGTTTTAACAGATATAGAATCCTAATAGTCATACAACCAAAAGTTAACATGATAATCTGCATCGCTAATTACATAACTGCCCTTTGACATTACCTGTCTTCATCATTCTCCCTTGTTACTCTGTTTGCAATCTTCAGTTGATAAGCAAAAAATTGCATCATTCACGTCCTCTGCTGTTATAAACAAACACGTCTCCAAATTTCGTCATGTACTTGGCAACAAAATCCTTGGTCTTCAGCTTAACAGCATCGTTGACAACGAGGCCCTCAACCTTCTTGCACTGTCGCAGCTCCTTACCCAGCACAGCGTGCGTCATTTTTCTAGCCAATTTTCGGAAATCTTCATCGTTCGTTATACGAGCACGAGGACAATCGTCCCGGCGGTAAGGCGTTAGAATGCCAACGATATATTGCGAGATCTCTGCCATAAATCGTTCCTTTAGGCCTTTCGCTTCACCGCTCACCACCGCTAGCTCGGTATCCACAGTAATCTGTGTTAGTTGGGTGACTTGCGGTACCTCTACTTTTACGGTGTGTGGCAATCGGGCGTGTACGAGATCGGCTGTTGCCGCCCCTTCTTCCGGTAGTTCCCACGATACCTCTCGAGTTAACGTATGGTAGAAGTAAATTTCTCCAACGTCAGTTTTTGTCGCCTTCCAGAAATCCGGTAAGCGGATCGCTCGGATCTTGGCAACGACGCGTTGATCTTGAGCAGCTAGTGCTGCTGTCGCAGCAGGTGGATGATGCGGATGTATGATCGGAGGTGGTGGATGTGGAAAAGGCGCCATTACGTGCCCAGGTGGTGGCAGTACAGAGGGAGGTAGATGGTTACCGGGCGCTGGTCCACTCGGAAACATAGCTTGTGGAGGTGGGTCAAATGGGCCCATTGGTCCCATTGGTGGCAAACATCCGGGCGGCATATGCGGTGCCATGGAAGGCGCCATATGTGCCATACCCATCATCGCAGGCTGCATCATCACTGGTGGCGGTAACTGAGACAACAGGTCTGGCGGAACTGGCACGAAACGTCCGGACTCATCTCGGAACATCGGTGTCAATGTAACGGCGCCCGTGTCCATGGCTCGTTGTTGCTGTTGCAGCATCTCCTGTTGCATACGCAGCTCGTCTTCACGTTTCGCTTGAAGAGCAAATAAACGCCGACGCTCCTCTTTAGAAACTCGTGGCACGCGAGCGTCTTGTCCATGCCGATTATGGCCGTGTTTATTATTATAAGTAGTGGTTCGTTCACGACTACTGCTCGATGAGGACGATCTGCTACGCGACCGTTTCCGATTCCGGTGCTTGCGAGCTCGGTCGCGACTTCTACTGCGTGATCTAGATCGTGAACGCGACCTTCTTCTAGTGCGTCCTCTGGAATGGGATCGACTCCGTGAGCGACTTCTACTCCGCGACCGTTTGCGACCTCGACTAGGCTTCTCCGGATCGTCTTCTTTTTCCTTGTCTCGCTCTTTCTTCTTTTTTTCCTCTTTCTTCGCTTTCTTGAGGTCCTTCTCACGGCGGTCGACCTCTCGCTCATCCTCCTTTCGACGCTGCTGCTCTAATTTGGGTATACGGTATACTTCCTTTAGCGCATTCCACCTGTCGAGAAGCAAGGATATGCTTTTGTAAAGCTCCTGGATCGGACCGAGCTTCTCCTCTTCAGTCTTGGCCTTACGCATTGCATCCAGCTCGTCAGATAGGTCCGATGCAAGCTGATGTGAGGCCGTTAGCAATTTGCTTTCTTTTACAATCGTCTTATTTGTGACCGGTAGCTTCTGCAGTGTTGAGATCATTTTTTCACGAATTTCATAACCTTTTAAATCGGTGAACCAGCTCCAAAGGAGCTCTAGACCGTGATAGTCGACAAATAACCGAAGACATGCCTCTGCGGTTCCTGCAATAATATCAAGGAGCCGACAACGGATTTCCGGATCTTCAGCACGAACCATAATCCTACAGAGGTTGATGACATCATCTCGAGATCGAAGTCCCTCTTCTAGAACCTCAAGTTCCTCTTCATCTATCTCCTCTTCAATTCTCGAGCGACGTTCCTCCTTCTTTTTGGTGGTTGATTTCTGGGTCCCGATAACACCCCGACAATTTTCTGATCCACAATAGCATTTCTGCGCTTCTTTGCCATACACCTCAAACTTATAATCAAATGTGAGCTCTTCACCTGCTCGCACGGCCTTCTTCGTAAAGAAGCCAACACGTAAATCACCGTTGACGGTCCATTTCTCGGTAACGCAGTTTGGGTCGCAACTATGATTCATGTGCCGCGAGAGATTACCTTTAGCGGTCGCATCAATAGCCAAACCGGGTTTTAGCTCCATAAAGTAAAAATGCTTGGCGGCATCGTAACGTTTTACCCGCCGTCGAAATTCATTTGCCGATAGAACCTCACCAACATATTCCATAACGAAGGTTCCAGCCGCCAGTGGTTCGACTGCCCGCAAACCATAGCCCTTTTTATCAGCATGGAAACGGTCTACTTTGGCGTACTCTTGTCGCTGAAATCGCTTGTTACCGCAGTTATCGCCGAGACGACAGCGTTGTCCGCACTCGACAAGCAGCATACGGTTGAGGCAGTCATCAACACAGCCTCGGATTCCACGCGAAATTTCATCCTTTGTAAGCGTACAATCGCACTCCATACGCCGGAGATCTTTCTGAGAATCTCGCTTTGCGTAGCGATACTCATTTTCAACTAACGGGATATAGCCAAGTACAGGATCAATTTTTTGTTCCTTATCGTCGATTACTTCATGTGGTGATTGTGACTCTCCCGAGTCCTTGGCTCCGCCATCTTGAGGCGATTTGGTGCCGTTTTCTTTGTGGTCCTGTAACTGCGAACAACGGCTGTCTTGCGAAAGCTCCTCGAAGTCTACTCCGGGAGGCGCGATATCAGCCTGACCCTGAAAAATAAATAATAAAGCGAATTTTAATTTCTGAAATTTTAAGTCACGTTGTTTTTAATGAGTCCCTTTATAAAAACATTATTTTGATTACGATTATTGGAGAATCTCCTTAGAATTAGATTATTGCATTCTACTTATTTGTGCCACATAGCAATCGCTCATAGTACAAGCTTTATTTCTTAATAAAAGTGTTATTTTATTGTACAGACACAATAAATCATAGGGCAATTTGCATGCGAAAATGTATTCATATATATAGTCCACAGATTGCAGTCCAACTAGTTATTACAGTTCCAATGTTACGTGAATGGTGTTATAATAACCAATCACTACTTATTCTAATATCAGTGCCAGATGCGCGTGAATCTAAACAATTAATTCCACAGCAGAATGTTCACTGCTTTCGAGCTACTCATTTACCAACAACTATTCGTTATTTTAGTCTTCTCTATTCTAGTGAGCTAAATTCGTCTAAGAAACCCATCGGCACTATTGTAGCTGCAACTAAACAGTTGCCGAACAATTGTAGTTCGTTTCCCAATCTTATCATTCCAATAAACATTAAAATTTATAACCAGTAATGATTATAGTTAACTAGATAGATAGCAACGTAGATGGAAGCGTCACAACAACAAACAAAATCCCGTGTACTTCTTTCAACGTCACCCAAAAGTAGGTGCCTATGTTGAGAAAAACGATACACGATTGTTTGTATAGCGCATGCTCGCCTGTTGCGCGTTCTATACTTGTTGTGTCCTATTCGTGATGTAGTGGACGCATTCTTGTTCTAATGACGGTTACCAATATTATTGTTATTATTATTATTATTATTATTAACATCAATAATATTAGTCGTGTCTGTAGCAAGCTCCATCGAATACTTTTGGCGCCATAGACGATCGTAGCAATACGGATGTTGTCGAAAGCACCTTTCTTTTACAACCTTTGGGCAAGGTTATTAATACTATCAATTACTAAGTAGAGTAGCTTGCGATTTTTATATTCAACTACAGTAGGTGACAATAATTTCATCTGTCATCGCGCCGAGTTTTATCAATCTATTGGACCGTACTGGACTCACCTCGCCGGTAGTAGCACTGCTCATGTTGATGACCGGCGCGAACGAACAGGGCCTCCGGGTGCTGCTGCAGCTGCAGCTCCTCCGCTGTTGCCTTTATTTCTGTTATAACTACTGTTGTTGTTGCTGCTACTGTTGTTATTGTTGTTGTCGTTGACTCCAACGTGTTTTTTATCTGACCGCGGCGGTAGCCAGCGCACGCATCTACCACAATACAATTGAAACGAACACCGCTATATCACCAGCACCTGCATCAGCGCTGTTGAGACTGACACTGTCAGATAGTCGCTGTCATTCTTGTGCGAAAAAATTCAGCGGCAGTTCGGTTTGCCAGATCAACGATCGTCCACGAAAGCCGAAGCTTTTTTTCGAGGAGATGATTGTAATGGCGGCGGCGGCGGCGGCGACGGTGGATGTTTGTTTCTGTCAAATTGTTCCAATACGTCGTCGACACTCACACACACATAAATACGAGACAAAACAAACACTCTTACACTTATGCAGTAGTACACACAAACACGGGTGTACCTCGTACAGATGATTTCACACGGCATCAGTCGTGTGATCGTAATAATAATAATAGTTGCTTAAATGTGTTTCATTATTATTATTTGAATCATCTGATTCGTCTTCGGTATTTGGTGATCGTTTCTCTCTGTTCTGTTTTTCTTGTTGCTTCACTGATTTTACTGTCCATGCGTCTACATCACTAGCATGGAACTGAGGCAATCTTCGGTATCTCTTGCCAGGATAACAAATGAGGAGACACTTGGCAAAATATTAATTTTACTGAAGCACAACATGAAGCTGACGATTAGAGAAAACAACAGCAATAGCAAGTGGCGGCATGAAGATAAGACGTGACTGTTTGCTGACAACGTGAACGTGTACGTGAGGGTGTTCGCTATTGGTAGACACTACAGCTTTATTTAATTAACTCTGGGACAAATTATTTTTCCGCGATGTCTATCATCAGTTGCCGTATGTATGCGGCTACCGTCATTGACGATGTCGATCACAATCGAAATAACGCGGTGCTACTGATATAATGACGATAAGGGACAGTCTAGTGGCGGGCGCGACCAATAGTAAAATCAGCCCCTGCGGGTCGTTCGATCATATGCCCGAAAACGCCGCTTTAAGCATAGCGAGCCAGGCATATATATGCAAACAGGACGGCAAGCAAAGAATCAGGCACCGGACGGACACAGAACGGATACCGACGACAACCGTAGCAGCCTGCAGCTATGCACCAGAGTACCACTGCTAGTAGCACCAGCCAATGCACTCGCTACGGAACACTATGAGTCGGCGGTACTCTGCCGACTCCACTTTTCACGCGTACGAGCAACAGCGTCCTACCAAAACCATACTTGCCGCACTCGTTCGCCCGCACAACTGCCTGCACACACACGCACATAATAAACACACGGGGAACACATACTGGCCTACCAAACAAATCATACACAAACAGAAAGCCCAGAGGCTGACGGACAAACACACAGATCGACACAGACAGGCAGACCGAGCAAGCAACTGACGAAAGATTGGGCGGCGGAAGCGGCGCACAGAGACACACGAGTAGCCCCCTTAACCGCAGCAATTACCAACACACACACACACAACGGATTCGCTACTGGCGCGATTCGTTCCAAATGAGCCGTTCCTATAGAGAACGTTGCTTACTTGACAGAGAGAGAAGAATTAACGCCTTGAAGGCACGGCCCCCGTCAACAAAACCTAGACACTAGAGAGCATTTCCCCGCTAGGCGACCAGACACTGTATTCTATATATGCACACATACAAATAGACACGCGATGTATAGCCCGGCATATTATATAGTAAGAAAAACAACGAGTACCTGTGTTTTGATGTAAGCAGACGACATGGAGAAAACGATATAAATAACACAACAAGGCAGCCATTGCAGACGACGAGGCACACAACAATATGTTAAGAAATAGCGCTAATAACATGGCGTCACCGATCACGGGCCCTTAAGAGAAGATTAGCGGGTTGTTGGTTTCTGCTGTGCCTGCTAACATTCTACTTTTTTTTTTTTTTAACTTAAGATAGTACCTTGACCTCTACCGTATGGGAATGTAGAATTAATTTTTACGAAAATATAGGTCATTGGGAAGCATGGAACAGTTATTCTTTTGCGGTGTTTAAAAGGGCTTTTCCTGACATTACTATGTGCCTCATGCTTATACTGGTTATATCGTGTCTGGCTAACATCCATATCACTGGGTCCTCGTATATGATTCGAATCCGTGGAGTAAAGATTAACGCTAAGAGATTAATGGTTTATATAACTATCTAGCATATTTTTTGGGGAAAGTACAATTTCATGAGATGTGCATCGACACGCGTATCTTCAACTCTTAAAACTTCAGTTTCAATGACGGAGTGCGCGGATACACCATAGCATACGAGCCGTCGTAATAACGATCAAAGTATCTCTGGAAGTCGCCAGAATACACCAAACATCCAGAGACGTTAAAAAAAACAACCTCTTATGGCGATAACGGAATTAATCGCCTAAACCATGCCTAAATATCTAGATGTCACGGGCACGAAGCTACTTGGAAATGCTTGCCGAGCGCTAGCGCTTTGTGTCACGGAAGCGTACCGCACTATTTCTGCAAATGCGGTTTCGGTTTTGGCTGGTAAATAACAAGATTTTTCCCGAAAAGTGGCAGTAAAGGACACACCCCAGAATGAAAGACTGAATTGCACAGCCCGGTAGAGTGACTCACGTAGACGCTTACTGCTCATGATATCCTTCAAAGCTATCTTCACAATATTGGTAAGGGCCTTGCGGGCAGTTGCGTCTTTTGCACAGCGGAGTTGAAAGGCTGAACTCGCCACACGCTGGCGATGTGTTCGACACATCAGAGGGCCACATAAGACAGGAGGGATGAACTTGAAATGAATGAAGGGGTACGCATTTTTTATCACTCAATCGCGCTAGCACGGGGAAGGATGTCGTTGCCAGGGAGGTTGTAAGGTAAGAACGACTTATGCAGTTACGTGTAAATGATATTGTGAACGGGACAGATGGTGCTTTACATTTAGGTTAAGAAGACGCATGGGCGAAATAGGCGCCCATCCCGGTAACTAGCACGTCTGGGAAGAAAAAGTACCAGACCAAAGAGACCCTGCGATCGTCTGGTGGCGCTAGCCACTTTCTCCTACCAGTACTATTAAATAAAGCTTTGGAAAAGAAAATGTGGGTAATGTTCTCTGCGAAAATAAGGTTGACAACGAGGCTGAGCCCCACATCCGTCCCAATTAAGATTGACATTATACTTTCGGAGATGTTAGCCCTACGTAATTATAGGTTTTTTTATTTCTTATGTCAAGTACTTAAGCCGTCAGGCGTTCATCGAGATGGGTGACTTCCAGCACAAAACAAAGTATACCAGCGGCCGATTTCAAACCATGATTGCTATCGTCACTTGCAATTGTGTTACGCAAACCCTCTTGACAATCTTCAAACTTAATTCATTTCGGGCCATTTCATTATCCTGTTGTTTAGCTATCTTACTACCGTCTTTTGCTAACGTCATGTCCAAAACATGCTGCTCCTCAGCTGGTAGTGCTATGAGGAGACCGCCGTACCAATCTATTCGTAGTGTGTTTAAAGGGTCTCGTCGTCGTCGTTGTTCACCCGGATTGGATACCGCTGTTCTTAACTGGTTGTTGTTGTTGTTATTGTTGCCAGATTGAAAAACTGTTGTAACTTAGCAAGGTGCATGTATATGAACTTCAGTGGGATGAAAAGTCGAAGCGCACTAAGTGTTAATCAGCTTTTATCGTAGTGTTTTTCTCTTCTTTGTACCAGTTTGTGGAGCACTGAAAAACTTGCAAATTCACACGGGCCCGATCGAGATGGCAGACACAGAGGTCGTCGATGTTGACGCTTCACACCAGCCTTTTGGGCCTGTGGTTAGGAAATGTGCCCTGTGCTTTTCGGAAGTTACTGTCAAGTCGGAGCCGTTCTTATTACCGTGTCTGCACACGGCATGCAAGGCGTGCCTTCCTGAAGATCAGTCAACGGTTAGTCATACTACTTAAATAGAATCCATTCCATCTAACGGAAATTAACTTCTCTAGGCTACCATAGGCGATACGATTGTTGTCTCAAGCGTAATAAAGGTATCTGCGTTTACTTCGTACGCGTGACACATCATATTATCGGCAATGATCGCTGTAAGTGCATTGGCTATCTGATTCGTTTAATAATTGTAGTGGGGTTATCGGACTGAATTTTAAATTTACAATGGACATATTATAGCTATTATTAACTATTTTTTTGCACCATAGTTTGTTTGTCGACTTTCGTGTCGATATCGAAATTTTCAGTTTTAACAGTATTCTTGTACAGCTGCATCGTATCTATTTTCGAAAATAATGTTAATATAAAAAGAGGAAGCTTTTATTTTTAATTAAATTAAAAATTTTAACAATTAAACATGTATCCATTTATTCTTGTATTCAATTTTGTGAGAAAAGTTTCTCAAATGTCCTAACTCAGCTTTTATTGCGTATGCTAAGGGACAGAATTTGCTGAAAAATAATGAATGGTTTTTTATAAATCTAAAACTAGTTGAACGTCATATAGCGATTTGCCTTTCGGACTGACGAATTCTGACTTAGATTCTCGTTTTAAAAATGTTCATCTTAGTTGTGTAATATAAGCCGCCATGTATGACTCAGGTTAAAGAAGCAGGGCCCAGATTTGGCTCTGACCATTCAACCACTTATAAAAAAATTACTGCAAATATCGTAAAATAAAATTTGAATTAGTAGTTCTATAGGAAAATTAAATTGCGCACTTTTGGTAGTATTTTGTATTTGCGTGACGGTGTAGTACTGTAATCATATTCATGCGAAAAAATAAATTATGTGCATAATGCCATTATCAGTATTATCACTATGATGCATTGCGGAGGGATCGTGCGCAAAGAAAATTTTCATGAGCAAAGTTTGCGGTGTTTCGCAGATAAACACGGCTTCTATCGACACTACTAATGGCATATTTGGCTGGGCGCTTAGACTCCCCAAATTACTGTTGAGCTAAGGACTTTACAGTGCAAGTATCGCTGATGCGTGGGTGAATTTATTAGCCGAGACTGGAGACAATTATAGTGGTTCCTAGCAGTCAACGTCACGATCCCGAACACCGTGCACGTCCGGTAACAAGAGATAAACCATGATATAGGCCGCTTAGTCTATCGGTGGCTGACGGACCATGTTTATCTGATTTAGGATCACGTTTGCATGACTTTCCAATTGAAGTTGTTCGACAAGCACAAAACTGAATAAACAAATAAAGAATTGAGTCTTTTTCATAGTCCAAAGTAGGATAATTGGTTTATTCCATTTTGTCGTCCCAATTATGCCCCAGCAGTGGCAGCACGATGGCGATGGCAACTGAGACGAGAAGCATCCTTAACAACATGGGCGAAGACAAGGAATTGACCATCCTAATCAGAAGCTTCGTTTCGTGTGTTTGGTTTTGGAGCTATAGCGTAAAAGCGATTTTAATGATCAAAATATTTACGTTTTTCTGATTGTTTTTTTTTTGAAATAGGCAAAGGGATTGACCAAAAGTTATGTAATAAATATCAAATGTAAAAAGAAAAAAGGTGTTATGCATTTTTAGGAACGGGGCTTTGTTGGTTGCCACAATTAAGGGTTTTCAAAGCTTCATAGGCTAAGGTTAGCAGACTTATTATTTGGATTTTATTATTACTTGTTATGTGTTCCTAATCGAAATATCGCAGTTTTTTTGTCGTTTAAGGTTTTATACACTATGCAGACATATTGCGCCATGTACTATGAAATGGTGTAACGAATAGAACAACAGCCCAAAATTCCAAGTACAAAGTATCCAAAATTTAATCACCCTTGCTAGTCAATTTTACATGAATGAGAAGTGTTTAAATGCGTCTTTTTTTGTATTATCTTTCCTAGGTTCAATGCAACCATTGCGACCAAATATTTCCACCAAGTGCTGCTATCCGTCATTTGGTCCTTCTCGATCGCCTCGAAAAGGAGACTCCAGAAGAGGAGGATAACTCAGAGGAATCCGGACCAAAAAACCTCTGCACGTCGTGTGATGAAGGCGTTGCTGCCGGAGGGTACATTTCGCAGTTTGCAAACTATCTGTTTTTTCATGTATACTTTGTTTAAATCAGGGTCTAAACAGAATCGATCGAGCTATGCAGCTGTACGGGCTTGCACACCCATATACCATATGTAATATCTTTTATCATAATTACCTGGCTGAATCTTGATTGTGTGATTCTTCACTATTACAGATATTGTAAAGATTGTGAAGAATGGCTTTGCGCAGCTTGCATCAAGGCCCACCAACGAGTCAAAGTGACAAAAGACCACATAATTCTATCGACGGAACAGGCCGGGCGGGCACTTAGGGCGGCAGCAAAACAACGATTTCAGATGTGTGAAAAACACCCGAAGGAACCGTTGAAATTTTACTGTAGCAAGTGTTCGGCATTGACTTGCCGTGACTGCCAGCTTGAGGATCACCAGAATCATGGCGAATATTTAGCCTTAGTCGCTGCATGGAAACAGCAAGAATCCGATTTCAACACACAACACAAACGCATTGCAGAAAAACAAGCCTTTATTCGGGAGTATGTCGCTTCGTTAGAGAAGTGGCAGGATGCCACAACACAGGTTTGTTGAACTTGTTTGAAAGTACAAATCCGACATTTGAATGGTCTTTTACAGTAGTATCAGAAGACAGGAAACAGCCCAAACACTGAAAAACATGCAGGCGTACTAGAATTCGGTAAAAGCAAAAAATTAGTTCAGGGACACTTCCGTGAATCTTTTAGAAAAGCAGATGAAGTTAACGTGACAGCACTTTTTAATATAATTTTTTCTGGACTGCGCGACGAAATTTAATGGATCGAATCACAGCGTGTACAACCCGTTTAGTGTAAAATAGATTATGAATATTTGAAATCTTAACTGATTTGCTGTTTACCGGTATCGCTCGCAGGTGGAATCGAAAGTTGTGGGCGATATTCGAGCGTACGCAGTACGAGCCATCACCTTAATCAACGCTAAGGCAAAGAAATTAATCCGAGAAATACAGGATACGTGCAACCATAAACGGGAGGTGCTTAGTTATAAGAGGACAGAGGTTCTACATGTAAGTCTATTTTTCAACATACGTATTTTCATTACGATTTTGATTTGTTGTGGATCGTCGAATGCAAGCCAGCTTTGATATTTGACAATCCAGGAGGTTTTTCACCAGTTCTTTTTCTCTAGCTCCTAAGCTGTCCTGGCTAATTTCACGAACGCTAAATGTACTACTTCACGGTCACTGTCGTAGTATAAAAAATCACGGATACGAATTAAACTTTTATTTGTCTTTTATTCCAATAATAGGTTTATATGTTACGTAGGGGAATAAATTCATGTTGTTTTTATTCACCGTTTGCTGATAAACAAGCGTTAAATGTCATTAGAAAGCTCCTATTATCTCGTTGTAATCGTGCTGTTTATATGGTTAAATCTACATAAGCAGACTTCGGATTCTAAAGCTAGGTATTTTGAATGAAAAACAACTTTTTGACACGTTGCCTCTGCTCAACTGAAAAGAACTGTTTTAACAACTTGAATTGTAACCAACGATGCTATTCCGAAGTGGCTTACTTAGTTTAAAAGTGGCATCTTCGATATAAAGAATAGACGGGAAGTCTGAAGTGTGTTAAAATTTGTTGTCTGAATAAGAAGCTGTTATGGGGTTCAGAACAACGTTTCTACGGTACCTAACACCTTGCAAACAAACAACAAATCGAAAAAAAAATGATATAAAATAAGCACCAATAGCTTATTCCCTTTATTAGTTTAAAAATCTTTAGGTTGACTAATTTAAAATCATTTGAAATCTGATAGGAACAGTAAGATGCTATATGTAACATATTTTCAAAAATAAGACGGCAATCATAATACCTTAGATCTTCCTTTAATTTTCTGGATTATGCCATAATCGATTGTATTTGTTTTAAAGTTATATTTTCATTTTATTTTTCTTGTGCTGCTAATCCTATACGTAGCTGTGCAAGCGACTTCTTGACTGTCATGCGATTGTGGACGACATGGTCTCTACGGGCAGCGAATTGGCATTGATGCACTCGAAACAGACCATGGAACGTCGGATGAGCGCCCTTATCGAAAAGGTTGTGCAGCTGCCTAGCACCAAGGCGGAGATTAACCTTAAGTTCATTTTCGAGCCAAAGGTACTTGATGGTTTAGCCAACACTGGCCAGATTATTGACTTGTCTTCGCTACGAGAATCGGCGCATAGCTTACGAACACAGTATAATGGCCAGCAGGTGAGAAGTTGCAGCTATCATAAATGAGACATCTTCTATGAAACGGACGTTTTTTAATGATTTTAGGTTGTCATAATCTAGTATGACGAAGAACTTAATTATTTAGGTATGATATTAAATCAGTTTGAAAAAATCAAATAGTCTTTAATTCGCCGGAGTGTTTTTGTTATTTGTTTGTTTTTTTTTTCTTGTAACTAGCCAAACTGTTTCGCTAGTATTAATACTCGCAGCTGCATAAACAGGAGGATTTGGTGCTACGCGTACCTATCATGCAAATGTGTGACTTAAGATAGTTATTTCAATTCTATGTCTATAACAGATAATATAGATTTGATTAAGATTATTGCGATTCATAGGCGATTCTCGATGTCGCCAGATTATGAAGTATGAAGGTGCTATAGACAAGTGTTCGCTCATGCGTTTCTATCGGTGTGCTCAAAGGCTTATGTGTAATGGATATTTTTGCTAATGCTTGATGTGACTATCATTATCGCCTGCTGTGAAACAGAGCCGACCTCATTCAGCAAGCGGGGTCTTATCGAACGGGCGATCCGCTCCCAGTCCTGCGTTATCGAGTAAAAGCGGGTCACCTCACAGCTTACCTGGTTTTTGCTCAAGCAGCCAACATCCTGCCCGGCCGCCGTCTGGGCCTTCCCTAAGGGACAAGGAGCCTCGAAGACCCACACCATCTCCGTCACCTCTCGAAAATGGAAGCAAAGATGACCTCGTTATCACGGGTAAGCAAATCTCTGTCCGTACGTTACAATTGATTCGCATATGATCATAGAATATGGTCTACATTTGCAGCGTCATAGCTCCAATTTCACCTAGTTGCCGTTATGCTAGTTGCATCTAATGCATATTATTCTTTCATTATTACTGCTGACCACACAAATGG